CCACTCATCGGGGTAATATTGTGTGCAGGTGGCAGGTCAGACTCGCAAACACTTCAGCAAACAACCAGCACAGATCAATTCAGTGCAGTTGCTGAGCAAGGTCTCCAGCTCAGGAATGGCCTCACCAGTAAGTCATTGCAAAGGTGAGGGGAGGTAGACTGAGACCTGTAATTGAAGAATTAAAAGAGGGAAATCCTAAGAGTTAAAGAACAAAACCTAAAGACAAATAAAAACACAGCCTTTGGAAGCTGAAAGAGGTCGTTTTAAAATAATTCAAAGGCATTACTTTATACAGTGGATTGTAACCAAAAGGTTTCACAACCCATTAATTTATATGGCCTTAAAAGGATTCAGATAGCCTCATAAATGATAGATACATGACATGTAATTAAGGAAAACCAGAGCTAGCTTAGAGACTGGGTGTCTCTAAGCTTAGGAGTGAGACACTTCTGCCCCCCTGCACTGTGCCTCAGTGTTCCTGAGAGAGGCAGAGCCTTCAATCAGATGGAACCACACTGACTCACGTCCATCACGTTTAATGTGCTGTTGTTGGCTGCTAAGATAATCCTGTGTTAATAAGACTGCTTGTGAAATCCATTCATTAAAGAATCTCGTAATATCACTGCTTCATTGTCTAATTTGATAGCATGGGTAAGGGATTGCTAATGGCTTTCCAGGAAAAAAAGTATATTTGAAAACATCTATCTACTTAGTCTACCATACCTATATTTCATGATTGCTATTCTCACCCCTCTACCAAAAAAAAAAAAAATGGCAGCAGAATCCGTTTTTTAGGGGGAGAGGGAGGGCAGTACTGGGGTTTAAACTTAGGACCACATGCTTGCTAGGCAGGTGCTCTACCACTTAAGCCATGCCCCCAGCCCAGAATATGCTTTTTCAAGTGTCCCGATTATGAAAGGTAAAAGGTGAAGTAGTTCCCACCTAACCTGTGACCAATGTCTACATGTCTTAAGCGTCCCAAGAGAAGATCATGTGCTTTTAAATTTCATTCTCTCAAAATCTATAATCTCCTTTACACATGCAAAATTTGGAGGGTGGGGAGGTCCTGCAATAAGTCCAAGGTTTGGAAATGCCATTGTTACATGATAAAATGAAAGTGATTTGAAATTACTAGGAATCCTGATAGAATACTTTTAAAATTTTAGCTAAAACAAAAGTGAGAGGATACCTAACATATATTGGATTTTTTAAAACAAAAATGTAGGAAAACCAGCACCCTCACGGCTGGGGAGAGTAGGAACAGAGGCTGCTCTGGTCAGCTATCTGATAGCACTTAATTTACAAATAGATTTACAAATAGATACCTCTATTCCATTTCTTGGCAGGAGACAGAAAACTTCTCACATAAGACCATCAAAAAATGTGCATAAGAATGTTTATCACTAAATTTTTAAGCAAGTGTCAGAATTTGGATTCCATGACTAGTAGAATGGATAAATAAAAGGAAGGCTTTGATGACAACAGTCAGATGTAACAAAGTGGATTATGATATAAAGACGTAAAGAAATCTCAAAAACGTAATGTTGAATGAAAAGAGTGAAATAAAATATGGCTTCATGTTTAAAAAAATCATATTACTTCATGGTAGCAATCATGTAGGTCTTAAAAATGAATACATAGAAAGGAACACCATTTCAAGAACATACTTAACAAATAAAAGATAGGTTAAAAGATTTAATACGCACACTCAAGTCAATAACTATGGAAAAAGGAAGGGGTGAGTGGTATGAAGCTGAAAAAATTTAAAGAAATATGATAAAAACAGCACAATGACAATATTGTAACAGAAAAACATACTTAATTTGATTCTGTCCAGGGAGGAGGGGTTGGCAGAAGGAAAAGATAAGAATCAGAAAAAATAAGTCTTAACCTCTTGATGTTACAAAAAACACAAATTAACATATTTTTGTTTTCCTATAAAACAATTCTTATTTGAATATTTTTAAATATAGCATGGAATCATTTACCCAGTTGTCACTTTAATATTGTTGACTTTAATTCATCTGATGCAAGTCATACATAAGAATGATTCTTTTCTATAATATGCAGTGTCACAAGCTACATTTTCCCTCATAACCTGAAGCTCACTGGTTTGTAGCTTCTTATTCTCTTGTTTGTCCAAATTTGTCATTATTAAAATCAGCAAATTTCTTTTAATTATTTACAAGGTTATTCCTTGCCTTGAATGATTTATTTCCATATTCAGCAGGAATTCAGTGATTCTGAAATATTATAATAACTTTTAACTATTAACCCTGCATTTCTAGATCTGTATATCATTTTCTTCTTCCCTTGCTCTGTTTTCTTATGCCTTATGTTCAAAGACTTTTATAAATTTATTCAAGAAATGAGGGAAACTGCTGTATATTTTAAAAAAATAAAAACTAGAATCATGATACAGATACTGTTTATAAACTGTTTGGGGAATAGTTTTTCAAGCCTTTGGTTTTGTTTTTGTTTTGTATGGCTTTTTATAACTTGATATGTGTTCTTAGCTTTTCCCAATGTTGTTATACTTCCAACATATGTGATGTAGGAAGTTAGGTCTTTGCCATAATATTTTTAACAGCTCTTGTACAAGCAAACATTTTGATTACTTCTAGGTCTTCACTCTTCTAAATAACACTGCAGTAAACATAAAATGGTCACAGTTTAATTTTAAAAGGGGGCAAGGAAGCTTAAAATGGAAGCACATTAAAATAAATCATGGTTCCAAGAAAATTTGCCAGGGCTCAGATAGTGTTTGCTCATTTATCAGACGTTAGACTTCATCACTGTACATGGGCCTTAAACTGTGATTTTTACATTAGCAAAACACACTTGGCATTTTAAGCAAGCAAGTAAAAAATGTTTATGTTCAGAAGATGGTTGCTTTGAAAATATTATCTCTGATGATCTTTTTTAAAATACTTCACTTCTGGTGAAGATTTACACACTTTTTCATAGTGAAAAATTCCAACACCATTTGGGATAAAATATAATAAATGAAAGTATGTTTTACAGATGCATGGAAGACCTAGGTTAGGGTTCATTGCAAAAGAAGCCAATTTAATTCAATATATCCTCACACAAAACACTATTTTCTCTTCTGTAGCACACACAAAGTGACCAATACTGTCACAACTTTGCAAAAGTAGGATTTTTTAGAGGAAATAATACATTAATATGCCATTAGTGAATGAAAATTACACTTACCAAGTAAAATAGGCTGGGGATAGAGCAAATTATGGAACACAAGAAGGAATGGGAGAGATCTTTACAATATATTCAGATATTCATCGCAATACATCTCAAAAATGACAACAAAAGCAGTAAGAATAAAATATCAACAGATAAGGCAAGTTCATTCAATGCCAAGAGACAATGACCACAGAAATACATGCAAAGAACTATGAGAAGTCAGAAAACAGAGAGACACATCTGGTTGAAGATGTGTCCTTCAAGATACCTTCAAGTGGAAATGCCAATTCAACAGCCCAAGAAGAGTGCATGAAGGAATGTCTCTGTTCCCTTGAACTCTTTATAGTGCCTGACTAACAAGAAGAGGTCAACCATACCTAACTCAGACTCTGCTGGGCACACAGGGGAACAGTGGTATGACAGACTTGCAACCTCCTAGAACACAGAACACATCCCTTAGTGACATTGCTAGCACAGAAGTGAATGTCCGCCCACTGGCGAAAGAGGCACAAAGACATCAGTGCTGCCAATGGGGCTTCTCAGTCATCACTCCCATTTACCAGTTTTATAATTGGGATGAAGACTGTAAGGATGACTTTAGTAGATGGAAAAATGAGACTACCTGGGGGAAGATAAGGGAAGAAAGAGGGTGTTTGAACAGATTACTTCTCAAACATGGATAAGCATCAGAATCATCCAAGCTGCTGGTTTAAAATACTAAATACTGGCCCCACCCGCACACTTTGGGTGATTCTAATTCAACAGATTTAAAAGGTATGAGAATCTGGTTTGCAAAAGCGATTCCAATGTGAAGTCAAGTTTAGGTTCACTGGCATAATAAATCCCTGGCTTAATGAAGATGTATATGTATTTATATGTATATATATGTATATGCATTCATTCTGCAACTTCATGAACCCAGGGATTTCATTTTATATAAATACACACACACACCCCTATTCAGCTTCTCAGCATAAATAAGTTTAAAAACCTTAAATCACTGTTCCCCTATTATAACTCTACCTCAGTTTTCTCATATGAAAAACAGAATTTGAACTTGAAAAAAAAATCAGACCCCTTGCAGTTCTAAAATAATTTATTTCAGTGCTTAGTTAACTGAGAGATTTAAAGAAAAATTAAATCAAGGGGAAAAAATTCCATCTGGTCTTTCTAAAATATTGTAACAAAAATTTAGATTTTAAATTAGTTCCTTATATATCATTTCTTTTCTTTTATATGATTCCTTTTATCATATGCTTTCTTTAAACTTGCAGAAATGGCCTTTTTTTAGATTATCATAAGTAATATAAATGTCAGATTCTGTTTTGATAAGACAAAGTAGCCAGGGTAAACTCTACCAACATTTCAAAGACTTCATTTCTTGCCCTTTAAATGCTCGTGAACTATGTTCTACTTGGCTGGGGGTTGTCTACTCTATTTTGTCAAAGACAATTTTAGTGGCTCCATGGCCACGGAGCCATGGAGCTGTTAGTGGTTCCATGACATAGGATACTCCTCTGGTCAGTCAGTACTTATGCTAACTCCTGGTTTATAGTTGGTAACCAAAAATATTTATTGAATGAATTAATTCACAAATATACACAATTCCTTCTCTTTGCAGTTATCAATAATGGCTCTTAAAATACTTCTTTCCATTCACAATCTACTCTCCTTAATTTGCTAATATAACTTTAACCTTATTATTTTCATATGTGAGTCTAAGTTGGCATAAACCTTTCAGCCACCTTAAGAATTTTGTTCAATTTTAGAATAGATTCCTAAGTTGTTCTATTACCTACCTGCAAGTGCTGCTTTTCTGCATGACATCGGCCCGGTGATACCCAGAGAGTTTACAAAAACCGTCATTACTATAAACTACAGGCCAATCCACAATCTGGGCATTTCCCAGTAAGAAACTCGATTCTGAAGAAGAAAGAAGGAAAAGACAGTTGTTTAGGTTTATTTAGCAATTTACTTCTTTCAAGTAATCAAAAAGACAAATTCAGTAAGATGAACAAATGCAATGATGGTTATGATACAAGTAATATAACCTAGTCTGGAAATTGACATAATTAACTTTGCATGATGATCAGTGAGATTTGCCATGAATATAAGGTTTAGGTACAAACTTAAAATTCCATTGAAAAGAAACTAATTTATAATACCTCTTTGCATTTGAGCAGGCTCTGTGTCAGGAAAACAATATATGGTTAGTATTAAATAATGCTAATGGTTATAATAATTAAAATGGATTGGTTGATTGAGAGTAGTACTATAGTCACTTTTCCACAATTGAGAAGACTGAATTTATAATAGGCAAACTGAATGGCTCCCTCCAAAAATTCTATTAATATAATCTTGATGCACTAGGACAAATTCTTTGTACATTAGATTAGTTTTGAAAAGTTTAAAGTGGCATTGAAGAACCTTCTTTTAAAATAAAATTATTCATAATTCCAGTACTTGGGAGGCTGAGGCAGGAGGCTCATAAGTTCAAGGCCAGACTGGGCTACATAGTGAAATCCTGTCTCAAAAAAAGTATTCAAAGATACTATTTCCTACTATATACTACATAGAACTTGGAAGCTATCTGTGGTCTATATAAAAGACATCTCTGTTCTGTTTTATATAGAAAAGTAGGTTTGCTTTGACATAAAAATTAATATAAAAATAATACTTTCTGTTACCAACTTTGAAAATCCAATAGTTTGAGGCAGCAGCTTCATAGATCACATAGTAGTAAACTAAAATTAAAATGAAGTAAAATGGCATTAACTTATAAAAGTTAAAATAATTTAAAGGGGTAAAATTTCTAAAAAAAAAAATTGTATTTCAAATATCTACTAAAAATTCTCCTTTAGGCTTATGTTCAGTTTAGAATACTGAAAGTAGAAGTTTAAGCCTGACTAAAAGTTGATTTTCATAAAAGCAACAATGTAATTCAACACAGCTACTAAATAAAACACATTGCTCTGGATCAAACAATGTAATAGAAAAGGATTTAATTAATACAACATTTCTTTTGCTCTCATCAAATGTTAAGAAAAATAAATATGTGACAACCAAAAATGATTTGGTCCTGCAGATACTAAATAGATACTATACCATAGTATACTAGAGATACTAAATAAATACTAAATCAAGAAACACAGGACAATATATGAGAAAAAGCCTTTGGAAGGCACTAGGAAACAACTGAAAGTAAGCAGAAATTGAAAAAGATAAATCCTTTAAAAACAAACAGTCCCTGGACTGATGGATTCTCAGCTGAATTCTACCAGACCTTCCAAGAAGAACTGATACCAACCCTCCTTAAACTTTTCCACGAAATAGAAAGGGAAGGAAAACTGCCTAACTCATTCTATGAAGCCAGTATAACACTCACCCAAAACCAAACAAAGACACCTCCAAAAAGGAGAACTATAGTCCAATCTCTTACTGAACATCGATGCAAAAATCCTCAATAAAATAATGGCAAACAAAATCCAACAACATATCAGAAAGATCATTCACCATGACCAAGTCGGCTTCATCCCAGGGATGCAGGGGTGGTTCAACGTACGCAAATCTATAAATGTAATACAGCACATTAATAGAAGCAAAGACAAAAACCACTTGATCAGCTCAACAGATGCAGAAAAAGCCTTTGGTAAGATCCAACACCACTTCATGAAAAAAGCTCTAAGAAAGTAGGAATAGAAGGAAAGTACCTCAACATTGTAAAGGCCATATATGACAAACCTACAGCCAACATCACACTTATTGAAGAAAAACTGAAACCATTCCCCTTAAAATTAGGAAGGAGGCAAGGGTGCCCACTCTCCCTACTCTTATTCAACATAGTCCTTGAATTCCTAGCCATAACAATAAGGTAAGAAGAAGAAATAAAAATAATACAAATAGTTATAAAGAAATATTCAAAATATCCTTATTTGCAGACAACATGATCCTACACCTCAAAGATCCAAACAACTCCTATACACCATAAACAGCTTCAGCAATGTGGCAGGATACAAAATCAACTTACAAAAATCAGTATATACCAACAAGGAACACATTCAGAAAGAATACAGGAAAACAATTCCATTTACAATAGCCCAAAAAAATTAAATACCTAGGAGTAAACTTAACGAAGGACACAAATGACCTCTTCAAGGAGAACTACAAACCACTGAAGAAAGAGATCAAGGAAGACTACAGAAGATGGAAAGATCCCCCATGCTCATGGATTAGCAGAATCAACATAATAAAAATTGTTATACTACCAAAAGCAATCCACATGTTCAATGCAATTCCCATCAAAATCCCAATGACATTCATCACAGAGATTGAAAAATCTACCCTAAAGATCATTTGGAAACATAAAAGACCGCAAATAGCCAGCCAAGGCAATACTGAACGAAAAACAGACATACCACAATCTCTGTAGAGGTATCACAATACCCAACTTCAAACTATACTACAGAGCCATAGCAATAAAAACAGCATGATACTGTCAAAAAAACAAACATGAAGACCAGTGGAACAGAATAGAGGACCAGGATATGAATCCCCTCAGCTATGCCCACCTTATTTTTGACAAAGGCACCAGAAACATATGAGAGAAAATAGACAGCCTCTTCAACAAATGTTTCTGGGATAAGTGGTTATCTGCCTGCAGAAAACTGAAACTAGATCCATGCTTGTCACCCTGTACTTGTATCAGCTCAAAGTGGATCAAGACTTTAATATCAGACCGGAAACCTTGCAGTTAGTACACAAAAAAGCAGGGAATACCCTGGAAACAATAGGAGTGGGCAAGGACTTCCTCAGTAGAACTCCAGAAATCCAGCAGCTAAGAGAAAGGATGGACAAATGGGACTTCATAAAATTAAAAAGCTTCTGCACAAAAAAGAAATGGTCTCTAAATTGAAGAGACCACCCACAGAGTTGGAGAAAATATTTTCTAGCTGTACATCAGACAAAGGACTGATAACCAGAATATAGAGGGAGCTCAAAAAACTAAACTCCCCCAAAATTAATGAACCAGTAAAGAAGTGGGCAACTGAACTGAACAGAACTTTTTCTAACGAAGAAATCCAAATGGCCAAAAAACACATGAAAAAATGCTCACCATCCCTGGCCATAAAAGAAATGCAAATTAAAACCACGCTAAGATTCCACCTCAGCCATTGTTAGAATGGCTATCAAGAACACCACCAACAACAAATGCTAGTGAAGATGAGGGGTAGAGGGGGAAGGAACCCTCATACACTCTGGTGGCAATGTAAGCTAGTGCAACCACTTTGGAAAACATTATGGAGACTCCTTAAAAAAACTAAACATAGATCTGCCATATGATCCAGCTATACCACTTCTAGGGATATACCCAAAGGAAGGTGACTCCAGTTATTACAAAAACATCTCCATATCCATGTTTTTGCAGCACTGTTTATAATAGCCAAACTATGGAAACAGCCAAGATGCCACACAACTGAAGAATGGATCAAGAAAATGTATTTATACAGAATGGAATTTTACTCAGCCACAAAGAAGAATGAAATTTTGTTATTTGCAAGTAAATGGACGGAACTGGAGAAAGCCAAAAATCACATGTCCTCCCTCATATGTGGATTATAGACCTAAAACAAATGCAGCAATATTTTTGGACGTGGGTCACACATTAAGGGGAGAATGTGCATGGGAGTTATAGGGAAAGGGAAGGAAACCTAAAACTTGAATGTGGTTGATGTGCTCACTGTTGAGGAGCAAATATAGTAATCTTAAACTGTCAGAGGCTACTACGGGAAGGGGACCAGGAAGTAGTAAAGAGATCTGATAGAGATGAACCAATGTGGGTTGCAATACACAAGTGCATGGAAGGAACACTAGGTATCTCTCTGTATGGCTATCTTTATCCCAAACTAGCAAAAATGGTATGTCTTTCTTATTATCGCTTATGTTTTCTCTCCAGAGGTTCTGCCTGGAAGCAGAGGCTTGCAGCGGGTGGGGGGGGGGTGAAGGTGGCAAGTAAATGTAAAAATGACAAAATAAAAGGAGAAAAAATTAAAAACAAAGGATTTTCAAGAAAAAATAAAATAATATGCTAGTGAGACTATTAAATGGTATGATCACTTTGGAATACAGTTTCTTGCAAAGTTAAATATTCATCTGTGACCCAGAAATTCCACCCAAAGGTATTTATTCAAGTGAAATGAAAACATATGTTAACAAAAACACATAGAAAAATGTTCACATCAGATTTATTCACAGTAGTCAAACAATGCAAATATCCATCGACAGGATGGATTTAAAATTGTGTCAAATTCAGACAAGAAATATTACTCAGCTCTAAAAAGAAACAAATTCCCGAGACATGGAGCAATGCAGATGAATCTCAAAAACATCATAGTGACCGAAAGAAGCCAGAAACTAAAGTATTATGCTGTACACAATTTTTATTCATATAAATTTTAAATGCAGCAAAACTAATGTAGCTATAAGGATCAGAGCAATGTTTTATTTATGATTGCAGAAATGCTTAAGGTGATGAATATGCTAATTACAACAATGATTTCTGAAGGGAATAGTTAGGATGGATGACTGACAGGAAAGAAGCAATACAGAACTTTCTGGTGGTGTGATCGTTCTGTATTGTGATACAAGTTGCACAGGTGTATACTTTTGATACATTTGTCAAAAGTCACTGAGCTATACATGTAAAGATTTGTGAATTTTACTGAATATAGATTTAAAAGAAAATACAGGAGGGTAATGGATGATCCCTTTAACCAACAGCCTAAAGTTTTAGGAAAACAGTGGCATTTGAGAGGGGCCTTTGCTAGGACAATGGTAATGGTACCCTTCTATATACCTAGGGTGGTTAGAATAAAGGTATGATTTCTGCAAAAGTACTTCACACAAAGCATAAATTCCTTCATAAG